CAGACAGCCTGAAAACCCTACAACAACCCAGTGATTCCAGCCATGGAAGCCTTCGACAATACATTAAATACAAAGTGCTGGTTCTTACTTTTAAAGCCCTGAATGGCTTAGGTCCAGACTATTTGACAAGCCAGATCTCCCTCTATAGATCAACTAGGAGGAGGTCCTCCTCTCAGTCCCACCCCCGTCCCAAGTATGGCTGGTGGGAACGAGAGGAAGGGCCTTCTCCGTGGCTGCCCCCCAACACACACACCTCTGGAACTCCCACCTAAGGAGTTAAAGGTGGCCCCCTCCCTCCCCGCTTCCAAGAAACAGCTGAAGACATACCTTTGCTCTCTGGCTTACGAGGAGGAATAGGAATAGTAGTTGGTAATACTACCAGGATACCTCTGATTGATAGTCGCCATCCGTATCCGTGCCCTGCTCACCCCACCAACTCAAGAGATATCTTGAGCAACGATCAATCAATTTGCCCCAAAGAAATGGGAAATCCATGTTTCCATTTGATGTTGGATGTTTTGTCTTCTGTCTGTTGTAACAGGCTGCGCTTTTTATTTAATTTTAGTTGCTAAGTCACATTTCGTGTTTATATGTTGGGTTGTTCAAATTTTGTTAGCACGATTGCCCTGGGGATCTGGGAAGTGTAGTTCACCCTTATTCAGAGAACGCCGAACTCAGCTGACAACAGATCTGGACCAAGCTTTGCACAGAGAACCAACATGGGCAACTGTGATTACTGGCTGGGTTTGTGGGTGATTGCCCTGGGAATCTGGGAGTTGTAGTTCTCCCTTATCTAGATAGAACCCAGCTGATATCAGATCTGGACCACACTTGGTACACAGATCCAACATGGGCAACTGTGATTACTGGCTAGGTTTGAGGGCGATTGCCCTGGGAATCTGGGAGTTGTAGTTCACCCTTTTCTAAATAGAACCTATCTGATATCAGATCTGGACCAAACTTGGTACACAGAACCAACATGGGCAACTGTGATTACTGGCTGGGTTTGTGGACAATTGCCCTGGGAATTCACCCTTATCTAGATAGAGTTGTAGTTCATCTAGACAGAGTTGTAGTTCACTGTTATCTAGATAGAACCCAGCTGATATCAGATCTGGACCAAACTTGGTACACAGATCCAACGTGGCCAACTTCGAATAATGGCCGGGTTTGGGAAGGATTGGCCCACGATTCTGGGAATTGTAGTTCACCCACATCCTTCTGCACTTCCTATTGGGAGCATTTGTGAAAAACAAAAGGGAAGACTGTCTTTTTTCCCTAATAAATAGCATTATTACTTTGGTGGTTGTTTTTCATTACCCGGCACTCCAATCCTGGCCGGCTTTCAGAGCGTGGTTGCCAGAACTGGAATGAAAACAACCAGCCCACAAAGCAGGAGCGTCAATACAGAAATATGGAGCATGCTATTAAAGAGCCATTAATTGATTTTCTAACCCCAGTTCATTGCTTTTTCTGTTCCAAGTGTGTCGAGGTGATGATTATAATAAGGGCCTCGCTTCCGACACTAATGACGGGGCGAGGGAAGGAAAGACACCTGCAACCGCTGGGTGGAAGGAAGGAAGGAAGGAAAGAAAGAAAGGAACCCCCTCTTTCTTGGGTGACGGAGCCAACAGAATGCGCAGTCCCCCCCCCCCCAAATGGGCACAATACTGGCCTCTCCAAAAGGGTCTCCAAACACTTCATGACCCAAAGAAACAAAAGCTTGGAAGGAAACTGTTCCTAATTCTGTGTCAAACTCCCACCATGTCGTTGTATGTGGTCCTCCTCCAGATGCTGGACTACAACTCCCATGTTCCTCATCATTAGGCATTATGACAAGAGCGGATGGGAGTTGTGGCACAGCAACACCTGTAATAGGCAGTAAGAGCACCTTGAGCTTCGGAGAGCTTCTGTTCAACCATCTCAGCTTTGAACAATGTATAATCTCACCAAGGACGACCACCTCACCCGTCTCAAAGGAAACCTGCAACAAAACAGGAGCTTTTTTGTTGAGTTCCAGGGCCAGAGAAGCAGATGGCGGAAACAGAAGAACGGCCTGCCTCAGGGGAGCGTGCTTGCTCCATCCATGTTCAACATCTACACAAATGACCAGCCACTGCCAGAAGGGACAGAGAGTTTCATCTATGCTGATGATCATGCCATCACAGCTCAAGCAGGGAGCTTTGAGATGGTAGAACAGAAGCTTTCCGAAGCTCTAGGTGCTCTTGCTGCCTATTACAGGGAAAACCAGCTGATCCCTAATCCATCTAAAACACAGACATGTGCCTTACACCTTAAGAACAGACAAGCATCCCGAGCTCTGAGTATTATTACCTGGGAAGGAATCCCACTGGAGCATTGCAGCACACCCAAATACCTGGGAGTCACTCTGGACCATGCTCTGACCTACAAGAAGCACTGCCTGAACATCAAGCAAAAAGTGGGTGCTAGAAACAATATCATACGAAAGCTGACTGGCACAACCTGGGGATCACAACCAGACACAGTGAAGACATCTGCCCTTGCGCTATGCTACTCTGCTGCTGAGTCTGCATGCCCAGTGTGGAACACATCTCACCACGCTCAAACAGTGGTTGTGGCTCTTAATGAGACATGCCGCATTATCACGGGGTGTCTGCGCCCTCCACCACTGGAGAAATTACACTGCTTAGCCGGTATTGCACCACCTGACATCCGCCGGGAAGTAGCAGCCAATAGTGAAAGGACCAAGGCAGAGACATCTTCAGCTCATCCCCTGTTTGGGTATCAGCCAGCACGTCAACGACTTAAATCAAGACATAGTTTTCTAAGATCTACAGAGACACTCGCTGGAACACCCTCAGCAAGCGAGAGTCCAAAAGTGGCAGGCTCAAACCCAATGGCTGATACCAAATGAGAGATTCCCCCCTGGGCACACAGAAGACTGGGCGACTTGGAAGGCACTGAGCAGGCTGCGCTCTGGCACCACGAGATGCAGAGCCAACCTCAAGAAAAGGCGCCACAAAGTGGAATCCATGACATGCGAGTGTGGAGAAGAGCAAACCACTGACTATGTATTCCAATGCACCCTGAGCCCTGCCACATGCACATGGGAGGACCTCCTTGCGGCAACACCAGAGGCACTCCAAGGGGACAGAGACTGGTCAAAGGACGTTTAATCAACTACCAAACTCGCAGATTTTGTCTGTTTGTCTGTTTTGTTCTGTTAGAAATGTAATACAATTGACTGGTTGCCCTGACACAACAAATAAATACCTGGAAGTGTGTTTATTTTCGCCAGGAGAGTGCAGATGAAAGGTAGAGACAAGGCTTGTGGATAAGACGCATGGCTTCCAAAAGAGCTTTCGCCTTTCCCCAACCTCAGAGCCACCCATGCTGTTGGGTGGTCACGGGTCAACAAAAGGGATGGGAGTTGGCGTTCAATAACATCTGGGGACCCAAACTGGGGACAAACTAAAGTACACTGACCACTATGTAAAGAAATTATAGTTGGCCATCTGTTTCCATGGATCCTCCGTCCATGGATTTGATAGACCTTGGAAGGCCGGGCTTTAGCACAACAGCTGCAATAAATCTTGCCAATTGAATGGTTGATGCTCAAGTCGGGGTGAGTTCCTGGCCTTTAGCCCAGTTTCTGCCTACCTACTAGTTTAAAAACAGCATGCGAGTAGTTAAATAGGTACCACTTTAAAGTGGGGAGGTATTTTAAGTCACCTATAAAGAAATGTCAGAAAAATGCCGGCGATTGGATCAAGGAGGAAGTTGACAAACAAAACTCTTCAGCAGGAAGATGGAACAACAGCACCCCTTGTGGCCTGAACCGAGCACAGCCTCCAAGATGCCGAAGATGGGAAAGCCTGCATATATATCTCTATCTATGTACAGTTGTGTGTCTTGTCATTGTATAACATTGTATATGATAAAAATTATATGAGTAGAACAATTAGGGTAGGTAATTTACGACACCATAAAAATGCCAGCAATCAAAGGACAAGGAGGAAATACCACGATCAAAAGGTGTCATAGTGGATGAAGCGATAGCACCCCCCTGTGGCCAGAATCGACCATAACCTCCAGGCACCAAAGTTGGAAAATGTTGAAATACCCCTATCCGTCTTGTATGTCTGAAAACAGCACTGAAGATTTGCCGTGTCTGTGTGTGTCGTGATCCACCCTGAGTCCCTTTCAGGGTGAGAAGGGCGGAATATTAATACTGTAAATAAATAAATCTATGTAAATAACAATGTAATGTTCGTTTGTGGGATTAACAGAACTCAAAAACCACTGGACGAATTGACATCAAATTTGGACACAAGACTCCTAACAACCCAATGTATGTCCTTCACTCAAAAAAATTGATTTTGTCTTTTGGGAGTTGTACTTGCTGGGATTTATAGTTCAGCTACAATCAAAGAACATTCTGAACCCCACCAACGATGGAATTGGACCAAATTTGGCACACAGAATTCCCATGACCAACAGAAAATACTGGAAGGGTTTGGTAGGCAGTGTCCTTTGGTTTTGGAGTTGTAGTTCACCTCCATCCAGAGATCACTGTGCACTCAAACAATGATGGATCTGGACCAAACTCTACACTCTACACATGTGAACACTGGTGGAGTTTGGGGAAAATAGAATCCTGGCATTTGGGAGTTGTACTTGCTGGGATTTATAGTTCACCTACAATCACAGAGCATTCTGAACCCCACCAACGATAGAATTGGGCCAAACCTCTCACATAGAATCCCCATGTGGGCCACAGCAACGCGTGGCAGGGGATGGCTAGTAAATAAATAAATAAATAAATTCTGTGTTTCCATGAGCCAAGTCCAGTTTGTTTCACATGACACAAACCAAGCTCCTGTTTTCTAGGAGCCGGCAACAGGTCAGAGTAAAAGTTGAACATCCAGCTCCCCAAACAGTGCACTTCCAATGCCAACGCCCTCACCTGAGACACAGAGATCCTTCCTTATACATGGTATCCTGCTTCTGATACGCACCTGTCCAAAGTGCACCGTGATCGGCCGGCGGTCTTCTCGGAGCTTCGGGTCTCTCTTGTCCTCCGGCGGGGAAGGAGCGGTCTGAGGCAGGGAGTCTTCTGGAACCGTGGCGCAACCGTTCTCGGCGATGTCCTGTGTTGGGAGGAAAAGGTGAACAGGCTTGAGCCAGGCTTGAGCCAGGGCCAGGGATACAAAGGTGATCCCTGGAGATCTGGCAGGAGTGACAATCACAACACAGGAGCACAGGCAAGAAGAACAATGAGCAAACAAAGGACTGGCATCACAAGAAAACATACTGCAGGAATTGAGGGCCACGTGATTCTAGTTTGGGTTCAAATGGTCCAAGACAGGTACATTAAAAAAATATCACAAATTGATAGTCAAGAGAAACAAAACCAAAGCTCTGCGACAGGAAAAGTGGGCCAAAGGCAAAACAACCTGGTTGTGTTGTGGAAGGAGGACTATGGGCAAAACCAATAGAGAGCCAATGCGGTGCATTTGAGTGTCTGACAAAGAGATGGAAGTTCTAGGTTCAAGTCTGCCTTCCCTGGCTGAGCTTGGGCTAGTTCTGGATCTTCTCTTCCCCAAGCCAAATCCAGAGGAGGCCCTCTTGACCATCCCACAACCACTATAACCTCATGACAATGGTCCTTCTCAGGAGTAGTTCCCACCCTCACATGTGTCGTTCGGAAGCAAGAAGCCGTGGAAAGTTCTAGGTTCAAGTCTGTCTTCCCTGGCTGAGCTTGGACCAGTTCTGGATCTTCTCTTTCCCAAGCCAAATCCAGAGGTGGCCCTCTTGACCATCCCACGACCACCATAACCTCATGACAATGGTCCTTCTTAGGAATAGTTCCCACCCTCACATGTGTCGTTTGGAAGCAAGAAGCCGTGGAAAGTTCTAGGTTCAAGTCTGCCTTCCCTGGCTGAGCTTGGACCAGTTCTGGATCTTCTCTTTCCCAAGCCAAACCCAGAGGTGGCCCTCTTGACCATCCCACAACCACCATAACCTCATGACAATGGTCCTTCTCAGGAGTAGTTCCCACCCTCACACGTGTCGTTCGGAAGCAAGAACACGTGGAAAACTTATTTATCAACACAGGTTCTCAATGACCTGCCCAACTGATTATGACACTGTCCTCATCTACTATTTCTATTTGTAAGCCAGTTGTTGGTTTTACAATCTATAAAATGCTCTCAAACAGAGATGTTATTCCATTAAGCAGCCTCTAAAGGTACACAGAAGGGAATGAGGTCAATAGGCCACCTTGACTGTGGCTACTGAAGCCTCTTGCAACTGTGGTTGGACACCTCGTGAAGAGAGATGGCGAGGAAGATCAGATCTTCTAGAGGAAAAGCTGAACCTCAAAAGGAGACCCTGCACAGCCTGTCTTCTCCCCTTGCTCGACATTTTTCACAGAACTTAGATGACACTACCCTTGAAACAAAGGGGACACATCTACTGGGTTGTTCCTTCACACTCATGCCTTTTGTTGGCAATGCATCCCACCTCCTTTGCAGAAGGTGAGGTCACACAGGTGCGTTGACCTTCCAGTTTAACACAAGACTTGTTTCCTTCTAACTTGTGTCCAAAGTTGAGGGGAAACAATGCTCACAATGTCTTCTAAACTCAAGACTTTCCCAACCGACTGATGAACCTAATGAGATACATTATGGAGGGCAGTCAACAGTTTGGAACCATTCAACTATTGGGACTACAGCTTCCAGAATCCAGCCCAAATTGCTAAGGAGATGTTGAGTTGAGGATCCTAGAAGTTACACTCCAAAAAAGTAACCTTTTCAAGCTCTGGTCAGACTACCAGTCAATTCTGGTGGTCTGTCTAACGCTTCAGAGTGAGGTCTTATTGGAAAAGTCTAGATGTAGCAGAGAGTGGTCTACCAGAGTACCTAAGGTCTCCATAGCAATTATGGTCCTAATTATTTATTTGGGAGACTACTTCTGTTCTGGGAATAGTAGCAGAGAATTCATGCTTCCAAATTTGATTCAATGTTGTATATTCAGGATGGTCATTCTAGTCTTGGTTTTCTCCATCGAGTCTCTGTGTTCTTGCAATCTGCATATCTATTTAAATTTAAATATGATCCATAAATGAGTGGAAAGCGGAAATGTCCAAAGGACAAATGTAAACGACTCCTTAATTAGTTGCTGGGAAGGAACGGCATGACCTGAGAAGTCACCAGCGCTTGGTCTTTAAGCAAACTGGAGTGAACCGGTGGCTTGAGGAAAGAGCCGAGCGTGTCTATGCGTGTGCGTATGTGCATGAGCCATGTAATGAAAGCATGTTGGAGGAGGCGAAATTGGGGGCCCGAGGCAGGCAGGATCTCCGAGAAGATCAGAGAAGATGGAAAGACTTGGACAATCAGGACTGTGGAACAAAGCCTCCAGCGCGGTGAGCCTCAGCCTTCAACCCCTTTGCAACAATGTCAAGGAAATAATGCTTGGTAAATATAGAGAGAGCGCTGCACGCACATGTGACCCCGAGGCCAACGGCTTTGATGGACCGACCTTTGACATGCCCCCTCAAGTTCTACTCTTGCTCAAACACGATAATGAGACATGTAAGCTGATAGCCAATTAGAAATGATTCTTTTGGACACAGGATGACCTGACACACTCGGGTCAAGCGAAACAAAGGACGGATGGACCTTATGAACGGCTTTGTCTGCTCCAGATAGAAAAAGGAGAGACCTTTTCAGATCCAGCTGGTGGAGCCGTGGTCGGCCAAGATGGGCAAGAAGTCTGGAAGAAGGGAATTAAGGACTTGTTACAGGGAAGAAGCCTCTCGGTGGAAACTTTGTGCGGATGCTTCAAGGACACCTTGCCTTTGTAGAACACAACAAAGGGCAGCATGAAAGCAACAAGAGACACAGATGTGAGCAACACAACTTTGTCTCAGGTGTTTGGAGGCCACGTCTTATGGAAGCAAGGCAGGAAAAGAAGGTCAACGCCAGTGAGGGTCGCAGAAGCAGCTCGACAGGTGGGTGCGGCAGCCCTACTAATTGTGCCCACAAGCGCAGGACGTAAAACAAAGGAGACAAGAACACAGAGAGACAGGCCGGAGAACGAGAGAGAGGAAGAAGTCCCTGGGCCACTTCCACCCAGACAGGCAATGCAAGGGAAGAGTCAAGAGCAGGGTGATGTGGCGGCAAAAAAATGTGATGTGGCGGCAAAAAAAGCCAATGGGATTTTGGCCTGCATCAAGAGGAGCATAGTGTCTAGATCTAAGGAAGTAATGCTACCCCTCTATTCTGCTTTGGTTAGACCACACCTGGAATATTGTGTCCAATTCTGGGCACCACAATTCAAGAGAGATATTGACAAGCTGGATTGTGTCCAGAGGAGGGCGACTCACATGATCAAGGGTCTGGAGAACAAGCCCTATGAGGAGCGGCTTAGGGAACTGGGCATGTTTAGCCTGAAGAAGAGAAGGCTGAGAGGAGATATGATAGCCATGTATCAATATGTGAGAGGAAGCCACAGGGAGGAGGAGGGAGCAAGCTTGCTTTCTGCTTCCTTGGAGACCAGGACGCAATGGAGCAATGGCTTCAAACTACAAGAGAGGAGATTCCATCTGAACATGAGGAAGAACTTCCTGACTGTGAGGGCCGTTCAGCGGTGGAACTCTATGCCCCGGAGTGTGGTGGAGGCTCCTTCTTTGGAAGCTTTTAAGCAGAGGCTGGATGGCCATCTGTCAGGGGTGATTTGAATGCAATGTTCCTGCTTCTTGGCAGAATGGGGTTGGACTGGATGGCCCATGAGGTCTCTTCCAACTCTTTGATTCTATGATTCTATGATTCTAGGGGTGCCAGACCTGTGGCCCGTGGACCACCAGTGGTCCACAAGACAAGGGATACATGGCAGAGAGACTCAAAACATCTACATCAAGGATCTGATGATAGTGGACAGTTCAACCAAAAACATAAATCTTGGTGGCTTGGTCTTTAAGTTCCTGGGGTTATTTGGGCACTGATTCAGAAAGTTACATTGGATAATCAGAGCGTAATGACCCAAAAAGCTATAGACCAATCTCCCTGTTGTGTCACCTCTACAAAGTTCTGGAGAGACTTATTTTGCATAGAATTACGGAAAAAAGACCCCTGTCTGATTCCACAGCAAGCTGGCTTCAGGAAAGGCAAAAGCTGCACATCGCAAGTGCTGAACCTGACTCAGCACATAGAAGATGGCTTTGAAAGGCAGCAGATCACAGGAGCTGTCTTCATAGACCTGTCAGCGGCTTATGAGACTGTGAACCACCGCCTCCTCCTGAGAAAAATGTATAATATCACAAAGGACGACCACCTCACCCGCCTCATAGGAAACCTGCTACAAAACAGGAGCTTTTTTGTTGAGTTCCAGGGCCAGAGAAGCAGATGGCGGAAACAGAAGAACGGCCTGCCTCAGGGGAGCGTGCTCGCTCCATCCATGTTCAACATCTACACAAATGACCAGCCACTGCCAGAAGGGACAGAGAGTTTCATCTATGCTGATGATCGTGCCATCACTGCTCAAGCAGGGAGCTTTGAGATGGTTGAACAGAAGCTCTCCGAAGCTCTAGGTGCTCTTACTGCCTATTACAGGGAAAACCAGCTGATCCCCAACCCATCTAAAACACAGACATGTGCCTTTCACCTTCAGAACAGACAAGCATCCCGAGCTCTGAGGATTATTACCTGGGAAGGAAGGAATCCCACTGGAGCATTGCAGCGCACCCAAATACCTGGGAGTCACTCTGGACCTTGCTCTGACCTACAAGAAGCACTGCCTGAACATCAAGCAAAAAGTGGGTGCTAGAAACAATATCATACGAAAGCTGACTGGCACAACCTGGGGATCACAACCAGACACAGTGAAGACATCTGCCCTTGCGCTATGCTACTCTGCTGCTGAGTACGCATGCCCAGTGTGGAACACATCTCACCACGCTAAAACAGTGGATGTGGCTCTTAATGAGACATGCCGCATTATCACGGGGTGCCTGCGCCCTACACCACTGGAGAAATTACACTGCTTAGCCGGTATTGCACCACCTGACATTCGTCGGGAAGTAGCAGCCAATAGTGACAGGACCAAGGCTCTCAAAAAGGAGAGCTGATAGAGGAAAACAGGTGCCATT